ATAAAGAATACGCGGGGTTGGATCTTTGAGAAGAGCGACGCGATAGCCCGTGGCAATAGATCTAACTCCGCTTGTGTTAGTGCGTCGTGATAGGCTTCGTATACAGCTTAAGGCGACCCTAATCTATGCCATTATAATTGTCTTCGAGATGGGCGTCAAAAGCCTCATCTACAGCGTTGTCGGCGGCTTCAGAAGACGGAGCGAGCGTAGCTTGCTCACTGCCCTCGGCGGGCGCGACGATAGCGTCTTCGGGCTGCGACTCGCGTAATCGCGACTCGAAAGTATGTGTATATGGAGGCGGCGGAGATAGAGCAGATGGCTGAGATTGATATAACTGCGAGTCGATCGCGACGGGCTGGCTCGCAGTGCCGCGCGCGCGCTTTCTAGGCGAGGGAGCGCTATCAGAGACGCGTTTTTTGGGCGGCATGAGGGCGACGATGAGGTGAGGTATACGGCGATAGATCTGCAACACCAAAAGTATATAGTATTGTGGGTGATGGAGATGGAGATGGAGTATACTATATGAGACGACGCGCTGGCTGCTAGTTACACGGAGCTATCGGATATTACTCAATGTTACACGGCGTAACTAAAACACCAAAAAAAGCTCAGTATAGAGCTTTTACAGCTATCTAAGCTGCCTCATGGGCTGCCTCATCACCGAAATCTACTATATACTTAAGGCAATCAAGCTATCAATCTGAATCAAGCTCACGGAAAAGCTCAGCTGGATTGATTGCGTTTTTGTATGAGGTTTGGCTGGATTGATTGAATTGGCTTGGCATCAATCTTCCAATCAAGCTATCAAGCTAGCTTGATTGATCTCAGGTGTGCTAACTGGGGCCATAATGACCCTAAAACTAGAAGAGCACTCCGCCCTCGGGTTATGACCTATGTCCGTAAAGACTATAGACTTGAGTCTGAAGTCATCTTCCCAAAAATTAACCGAGACCTGCTCTGGGTTAAGGTGAACGGCTACTCAATTCTTAACGCTTACCGCTAACCTGCCAGCACTGGAGTCTTACAATACATCACTAACTGCACTCCCCCACCCTTATCTATTGTAGGGGGGGACTTCAACGCCCGCCACCCAGCCTTTGAGCCTGGCACAGACGCCCGCAACGGGGGCATTGAACTGAATCAGTGGTCAATTAACAACAACATGAGCTTCATTGGAGAGCCGGGCGAAGCCACACACCAGGCTGGGCATGTCATAGACCTTACCTTCTCGAATATCCCCTTTGCCACAACTGAAGTAGCAGAGGACCTACACTGTGGCTCTGACCACTTTACCTTACTCACCACAATCCCCGCTAGAGGGCGCCAACCTCTAGACCAATTCCACTACAGGGTGCCAACAAGACGCCTGCACCAGTTTAACGCTCTAGTTGAACTTCACCTCCAAGCACACCCAATCAGCCCTATCAACACGAAAGCAGACATTGAGTCATCTATTGCCAGCTTAGAAATGTAACGGTGTGAGGAGAGGAGGAGGACTGCGTTGCATTGTGTAGCTATGGAGGAACTGCAGCTATATAGGTGTGTGCGATGAGAAAGTGTGGTAGCGATGGCCGTACCCAACTCTCACCCAAGTCGGTCTTGGCAAGTCCCAAACCGTTACACTCCCCCCCAGCTGCCGTGATCAACAAAGCTGACTAGTGCCAGTGCCATAGCTCGGTTGGTTCTGGTGTGTTTACATGAGTAGTAAGAAGCTGGCGAACATTTTCAAGCCCTAGCTGTCTCACAAACTCGGCGTGTTTCTGCCTTACGAGGGACTTTGTGAGTCCATCTGCAGGCATCTCTGCTGTAGGGCACCACTCTACACAGAGCCTTCCTTCCTGTACCTCTTGTCTTACCCACATTTGATGGGTGTCTACATGTCTTAGCTTCGTGTGAAGCCGTTCGTCTTCTTTCTTAACGATCCCGACCGTCTGCTCGTTGTCGCAGTAGATCGTTGGTTGAATCTCCGGGTCGAACTTGATATGCTGGAAGACC